GGGGCGCGCGGGGCGGGCGGGCGGGGCAGCGTCAGCGTCCGCAGCGACTGGGACGGGTGGGCCAGCACGTACTGCAGGTTCTCCGTGAGGTTGATGCCCGCCACGAACAGCCCGCCTGCAACAGCGAGGACGGGGCGCTGGGCGGCCGGGCCCCACCCGCACCAGCCCGCGCCGGGGTCACCCCAGTCCCAGCCCGGCACCGGGCCGCCGCCGGCCACCTCACACTTCCGGAGCCCGGGGCGGACCCGGCTGCTTGCCTGGCACCCAGCGAGGGCGGAGGGGACAGGGCTTGTCAGAGGACGCTGGGCGGTGACAGCCACAGACCGGCCGTCCGGTCCCCACGTGCTGCACAGGATAACGGCCCCAGATGCCCGTGTCCTAGTCCCAGATAACGGCCCCGGGGATGGCCCGAGCCAGTCCCCACTGCTGGGCAGGACGTAACTACAATGTGCTTGTCCAACAAGTCCCCAAAGATGGCCCGCCCCAGTCCCCACGTGGTGACGCACAGAGGGCAGGGGAGACAGAGATGGAGGGAGGGACTGACAGGGAGAGACAGAGATGGAGGGTGGGACTGAGTGAGAGACAGAGAGGTGAGAGAGGGGAGACAGAGATGGAGGGAGCTGACGGTGGAGGCCAGGAGCCCCGGGTGGCCTTGGCTCCCCTTCCATGAGCGACAGCAATGGCACACGTGCTCCGGGCTGCCAGAGACCCCATGCTCGCATGTAACACACGTGGTGAGCGCCCGGTGCGTGTGAGCGGTCACTGAGCAGAATGGCCCCGCACAGAGGGCCCGGGCAGCGTGTCTCAGCGAAGGCGGCCACACTCGAGGTCCACCCAGCTCTGTCCTCCCTCCCGTCCCCACGGCCACCCCACATGGTGACCCGGGTGTGAGTGGGCACTTTCCCCTGGAGCTGCTCAGTGTCGCTATCCCGTGTGCACACGTGTACACCTACGTGGGGTGCACAGGCACGTAGCTATGTATACCCTCGCGTGCATGTCTGCGTACACACGTGTGCACACACACGTATCCACACACGGTGAGCACGTATGAGGCCCCACTTCTTTTACTTAAAGCAGTGTTCCTGGCCGCCATCTGGGGCACAGGCCCGGGTACCTGAATGCGCACACTCAAGTGTGTGCGCGTGCATGTATGTACCTACGTGTGTACATGTGTACACATTCATGTGTACACACGAAGGACATGCGACGTCCCACTTCTTTCGCATAAAGTAGCATGCCTGACCACTGTGTGGGGTCCAGGCCCGGGTCCCTGTGGGGTCCAGGCCCGGGTCCCTGAGTGCATGCACTCGTTTGTGTGCACGTGTGTGTACCTACGTGTGTACATGTGTGCACACACGTGTACATAAAAGCACACGTATGATGCCCCAGTTCTTTCACATAAACCAGCATGCCTGATCCGTGTCTGGGGCACAGGCCTCGGTACCTGAATGCATGCATTTGTCCGTGTGCCCATGAACGCGCATGGGCACCGACGTGTGTACATATGTCCGCACGTGCGTGCACACGTGTATACACACGCAGGGAGCGCAGACGCCGTCCCACTTCCCTCAGAGAGGCAGAGGCCGGGACGCAGACGTCTGGCGGGGGCGGGGCACGGGGCGGGG